AACAAGCTTACTGAAAAAGAAGAGAAGAAAGCAGAATATCCTCAAAAAATACCTATGTATAAACTTAACCAAATATTTTAAAGAATCTGCAATGAAAACAATAAAGCACTAAAGAAAAGAAAGTATAGAAGATACTAGAAGATCAAAGGTAATCCTACAGTCATGATTAGCAGAATAAATATTGTTAAAATAACCATACTATCCAAATCAATACACAAATTCAAGGTAATCATCAAATTTCCAGTGGCATTTTTCACAGAATATAAACAAAAAACAATCCTAAAATGTATATAGAAATACAAAAGACACAAATAAACAGAGCACACTGGACAAAGTGCAATGGTGGAAGTATTAAAATACTTGACTTCAAAAACTATACTACAGAACCATAGTAACAAAAACAGCCTAGTATTGTCACAAAATGAGACACATAGACCAATGTAATAAAATAGAAGGTCTAGAAATAGGTTCGAGCAGGTATTGACATCTGATTCTTGACAAAAGTACACAGAACATGCATTCAAGAAAAAACAGCCTCATTAAGAATTAGGTATTCATATGTAGAAAATAAAACTAAATCCTATTTCTTACTTTGTATGGAAATCAATTAAAATAGGTCGAAGTTTAGGACATAAACCTTGAACCTACTAGAGGAAAATGTAAGGGAAGCACTTCAAGACATATGTATAGGCAACAATTTTCTGAATAGCTCAGAATGTAAAAGCAAGAATTGAAAAATGGCATTTAGGCACAGCAAAAGAAGCAATCAACAGAGTGAAAATAACTTCCAGAATAAATGAAATCTTAACAGTTATTTCCCCAACAGGTGACACATATCCATATTCAGATAACTCAAAATTAAACATCAAAAGAACAAATAATCCAATGAATAAATGAGCCATGTGTTAGTGGCACCATACCTGTCACCTAAGTTATGCAGGAGATTGAGATCTAAAGAATCATAATTTTTGCACTGTGTCTCCACAAGTGACCAGCAAAAAAAAAAATCATGCTGCAGACATAGTTCAAGTAGAGTGCTAGCTGAGCAAGCAGGCTAAGAGAATATGAAGCTCTGACTTCAAATTCTAATAGCACCAAAAATTTAATTAACTTAATTTAATTAAGCAATAAAATAAATAGATGGTATTCAACTGTGTAAATAAAAATGGCCAACAAATACATGAAAAAAATATTCAACATCCTTAGCTGACAAGAAAATTAAACCTAACCTACATTGAGGCTGAATGTGGTAGCTCATGACGGTAGTGCTAGCTACTTCAAAGGCAGATACCCTAAGATAAGAAAAAAGTTGGAAAGATACCATCTTAAACTGAAAACATTACAGGAACAATTGGGGAAACACTAAAGCTCATTGGCACAGGTTAATATTCCCCAATACTCAGAAAAACAAATCAAAGAAAGGCTGGATAAATGGGATTGTATCAAACTGAAGAGTCTCTGAATGGCAAAGGACATAGCTAGCAAGATAAAAAGGGCCTCATATCTAAAAATATACTTATAGCTTAAAAATTAAAAAAAACACAAATCCTCAAAGAAACAATAACTTCATTAATAAGTGGGCTAAAGCCTTAAACAGAGACTTCTCCAAAGAAGAAAAAAGAATGGCCAATAGACACATGAAGAAATGCTCAATTTCTCCAGCCATAAAACAAATGCAAATCAAAACATTGAGATTCACCTCACCCAGTTAGTATTAAGAAAACTAATAATTGGGGCTGGAAAGGTGGCTCAGTGGTAGAGCGCTTGCCTTGCATGCATGAGGCCCGGGGTTCGATTCCCCAGCACCACATAAGGAAAAAGGAAAAAAAGCCGGAAGTGGCTAGGATATTCTTAGGAGAGGACCACAATAGCTCAATAGGTATGTGCATATGACCATATAAAATAAAACTTATCAAAAGGAACTCCAAGAAATGGAAATGAGGTTTTTTTATTGTACCGTTTATAGTTATTCCTTTTTTCTTTCTTTTTTTCCTTTTTTTTTTTTCTCTCAGTCGTGGGGCTTGAACTCTAGGCCTGGGTGCTGTCCCTGAACTTTTCAGCTCAAGGTGAGTGCTCTACCACTTGAGCCACAGTTCCACTTCTGGTTTTCTGGTGGTAATTGGAGGTAAGGGTCTCATAGACTTACCTGCCTGGCTGGCTTTGAACCATGATCCTCAGATCTCAGCCTCCTGAGTAGCTAGGATTACAGGCATGAGCCACCGGCGCCCTGCTTTCCTTTTGGTTTATTCCCTGATGCTACTGTTTTGTTTTTTTTTTAATATTTCTGTACCCTTTGTCTTTTATAGGATTATCTGATTTGGGGAAGGGAAGGAGAATCACAGAAACAGTAGGACAAAGGGTCAACCAATTCAACAGTGATAGTCACTAGACACTATGTTAAAAATTAACTTTACAACTTGGTGGGAAGGGGCACTGAGAGGGGAAAAAGTGGGAGAAAATGAGGCAGGGGTAACACTGTTCAAAAAGAAATATACTCATTACATGACTTATGTAACTGCAACCCCACTGTACATAACCTTTACAATAAAACTTAAACTTAAAAAAAAAGAAAGATCCTCTTTAGAAAGCAATTGAATGTGGTGGAACACACCTGTAATCTCAGATATTTAGAGAGCAGAGTAAGATTCAAGATCTCAGACTAGTCCAAAGAAGAAGCACAAAACATTATCTGAAAAGAAACTAAAGCTAAAAGGGTTGAGGGTAATGCTCAAGCAGTAGAGTACTACTACCATTAAAAAAAAAAAAACAGTGGGGCTGGGAAGGTGGCTCAGTGGTAGAGCACTTGCCTTGCATGCCTGAGGCCCTGGGTTTGATTCCTCAGCACCACATAAGCAAAAAGAAAAATACCAGAAGTGGCGCTGTGGCTCAAGTGGTAAAGCGCTAGCCTTGGGCTGAAGAGCTGAGGGACAGCGCCCAGGCCCAGAATTCGGGCCCCACGACTGGACCCCTCCCAAAAAAAAAACACTACACTAAGATTCTGCTTAGTTGCTTAGTATAGAGATACCTGATGTTTATTTTGCCTCAGTGCTCATCAATTATCAACAGATGAATGGATAAAAAATGTGAAATACACATGTATTTGTATATATGTATATATTCCACCAGTAAGAAGAATGAAATTATTTAAATTTATTCTGGATTGTATATAAGTGGAGATCATCATCATGAGTGAAAAAGAAACAACCTTATGAAGGTAAGTATCACATATTTTCTCTTAAATTCAGCATCTAAGGGAGAAAAAAGTCCAGCAAGGGCATGAAAGTAAAACATCGACTACTAGGGAGGTGAAAACGTGCGAGGGGAGGAGGGGGGGAGATGGAGGAAGGAAGGTAAGAAAGAGCAATGCAGATGTAACAATAATACTATGCTCACAAATGTAGTTTCAGCTCAGTAGTGAGCAACTTTCCAGATAACCATGCACTTAGTTATACATGTTTTTAAAGGACTTTTTTCCCTAAGGTAAGAAAGAGCAATGCAGATGTAACAATAATACTATGCTCACAAATGTAGTTTCAGCTCAGTAGTGAGCAACTTTCCAGATAACCATGCACTTAGTTATACATGTTTTTAAAGGACTTTTTTCCCTTTTCTTTTTCCTTGTCCAATGTTCTCCCATGTGATGGAACTCAAGAATGTCTTTAAAACTCCAGGTAAGGTCACCACATTCCCCTCCTTATTTCACTGATCACAGAGTGAAAGAACAGCCAAGACAGCAAGTAATATAACAGTGCAGTCAGTGCCAACACATCAGGAAATAAGGGGACATGAGTCTTGTTGTAACAAGTACATATAGCAGCTTCCTGAGAGTATCTATAAAAACTCATCTCCTGCTACTGGGCAATGATTGCACTTTCTTTTCCTAAGGACACAATCCTCATTATTTCAAGGAGAAATTAGTGACTATTTATTTCCTTTGCTCAAAAAACCTGTTACCATTATTTGTTAGTTGGCATTGAATTCAAGAGACTTACATTCTGCTATCAGTGAGGGCAAATACAAACTAAGTGCCCTATCTGTATGTAGAGAAATGCCATGATGAAAACCTTTACTATGTGGAACTTATTACAGGCCAATTAAAAAAAAAAAAAAAACTTTCAAAATGAAGGATGGGAACTTGTGGATGATGTCATGCAGTCTATGCTCACCTGGGCCTAAATAGGGTCAGGGCAGGGGGCAGGGTCACAAGAAATTCCCATTCCAAGGCCCTGGATTGACAGGTCTAGCAACACATCAGCCAATTGCCTGACACACCTATCACCTGGGAGGCTGGGCATCTCCTTCCCCCAGCATGAAGACCCTACTATTCACCATGTGGCCATTATGGCTCTGGCCAGACCTGATCTCCCTACTTCATAACGAACTTTTTTTGTTTCCTTCCAGGAAGAACAACTTATACTACATAATTTCTCTGATATCCCCTTTTTTATGATGAGAAATAGTACCCTATCTGTCACCATTTTTGGCAGAGTTTAACATATCTTATATCTAATAGCATTTGTAAGCCTTTTGTTTCTCTTGGTACCAGTACTTGGACTTGGTACCAGGCTTGGAACTCTCTTACCTTCTTTGCTCAAAGCTGGTATTCTACCACTTGAGGCACAGCTCCACTGACGTATGATTGACATTAAGAGTCCCTCAGGCTTTTCTTCTCAGGCTGGCTTCGAACCACAATCCCCAGACCTCAGCCTTCTGTGTAGCGAGGATTGCGCGCATGAGCGACCCGCGCTCAGTTAATTTTAAGCATTTACTGCAGCTGTATTGGCATCAACTATGATGGTTATATTTTCACATTTGAATTAATCCCTGAAGTAGATTTTACAATATAAGCTTATGTGTCAAACGAATGAGACACATTTGCATTTGCTAACCTGTAGAAAGCACACTGCACAGGATCACCTCGGGATTCCGCACCTTCCGCTGGCCATTCCTTCCACCATTAATTCCCTTCCCGCTCGAGAGAGGAAATTTTATACTCTCACTTCCGCTTCCGGTTGCCTTGTTGCCTTGGAAACAACCACTCGCAACCATCTTGGCGGTTATGGCGGGGCTGAGCAGCGCTCAGATCCCCGACGGGGAGTTCACGGCGGTGGTGTACAGACTCATCCGCGACGCCCGCTACTCCGAGGCCGTGCAGCTGCTGGGCGCAGAGCTGCAGCGCAGCCCCAAGAGCCGCGCCGGCCTCTCCCTGCTCGGCTACTGCTACTACCGCCTGCAGGAGTTCGCCCTGGCCGCCGAGTGCTATGAGCAGCTCGGCCAGCTCTACCCCGACATCGAGCAGTACCGCCTCTACCAGGCCCAGGCCCTGTACAAGGCCTGCCTCTACCCAGAGGCCACCCGCATCGCCTTCCTCCTCCTCGACAACCCAGCCTACCACAACCGGGTCCTGCGCCTGCAGGCTGCTATCAAGTACAGTGAGGGAGACCTGCCAGGGGCCAGGAGCCTGGTGGAGCAGCTGCTGGGTGGGGAGGCTGGCGAGGAGGGAGGGGGCGAGAATGACACTGATGGCCAGGTCAACCTGGGCTGTTTGCTCTACAAGGAGGGACACTATGAAGCTGCCTGTTCCAAGTTCTTTGCCGCCCTGCAGGCCTCGGGCTACCAGCCTGATGTGTCCTACAATCTTGCTCTGGCATGTTACAGCAACAGACACTATGGCCCTGCCCTTAAACACATTGCCAACATTATTGAGCGTGGTATTCGCCAGCACCCAGAGCTGGGTGTGGGCATGACCACTGAGGGCATCGACGTTCGCAGTGTGGGCAACACCTCAGTCCTCCACCAGACTGCTCTGGTGGAAGCCTTCAACCTCAAGGCAGCCATAGAATACCAGTTGAAAAGCTTTGATGCTGCTCAAGAGGCCCTTACTGACATGCCCCCTAGGGCAGAAGAGGAATTGGACCCTGTGACCTTGCACAACCAGGCACTCATGAACATGGACACCAGGCCTACAGAGGGCTTTGAAAAGTTACAGTTTTTGCTGCAACAGAATCCCTTTCCCCCAGAGACCTTTGGCAACCTCTTACTGCTCTACTGTAAATATGAGTATTTTGATCTGGCAGCAGATGTCCTGGCAGAGAATGCACATCTGACTTATAAATTCCTCACACCCTATCTCTATGACTTCTTGGATGCAATGATCACTTGCCAGACAGCTCCTGAAGAGGCTTTCATTAAGCTTGATGGGCTAGCAGGGATGCTGACTGAGCAGCTCCGAAGACTCACCAAACAAGTACAAGAAGCAAGACACAATAGAGATGATGATGTGGCCATAAAAGCATTGAATGAATATGATGATGCCCTTGAGAAGTACATTCCTGTGTTGATGGCCCAGGCAAAAATCTACTGGAACCTTGAAAATTATTCAATGGTGGAGAAGATCTTCCGCAAGTCTGTGGAATTCTGTAATGAACATGATGTGTGGAAGTTGAATGTGGCTCATGTCCTTTTCATGCAGGAAAACAAATACAAAGAAGCCATTGGTTTCTATGAGCCCATAGTCAAAAAGCATTATGATAACATCCTGAATGTTAGTGCTGTTGTGTTAGCCAACCTCTGTGTTTCCTACATTATGACCAGTCAAAATGAAGAAGCTGAGGAGTTGATGAGGAAGATTGAAAAGGAAGAAGAGCACCTGTCCTATGGTGACCCAGACAAGAAAATCTACCATCTCTGCATTGTGAATTTGGTGATAGGAACACTTTATTGTGCCAAAGGAAATTATGACTTTGGCATTTCTCGAGTTATCAAAAGCTTGGAACCTTATAATAAAAAGTTAGGGACTGATACTTGGTATTATGCCAAAAGGTGCTTCCTGTCCTTACTGGAGAACATGTCAAAGCATACAATCATGCTTCGTGACTGTGTTATTCAGGAATGTATCCAGTTTCTCGAACACTGTGAAATTTTTGGCAGAAATGTGCCTGCTGTTATAGAGCAACCCCTGGAACAAGAAAGAATGCATATTGGAAAGAATACAGTCACATACGAATCCAGACAGTTACAAGGTTTGATTTTTGAGATTATAGGGTGGAATATGTAGTTATAACTGATAATGGCTGTCATCAGAAGTCTTATAACCTACAGTTCACTCTTTTCAAGTTAAATTTATCCTTGCCATTTTTATATTTGTTTCATGTATAAATCTATACATTTAAAGTTATAGCAAATATGTTCAAGCCTCTTTTCCACTTAATTTATATAACTAAAGATTGAACTGTGAATTGAGACACTTATTTCTGCTTCTGACAATCACCAGATCAGGCTTATGAGTAGTAACAATTACTTTAGTCAGATCTTTATATAAACAGATAACACTAAATAGTAGTTGATATTTCAACTTTGTAAGGTTAAAAAAAGATTGGAATTAGCCAATAAATGCCTGGAGGGGGGTGTTCTTCGTAGTCCTGCCATGTCTGGTATGTTGATTTCTAGCCCACATCTGGACCTTTGCTCAGTCAGCAAATAAGGGCAGGTTTTATCCATCTCAGACTGTGCTGCTCAATAAATCTGTTAACTATATGTCTCTGTTTGAATTTTTTTTATTTTACGTTCTTTCTGGATCTCAACAACCAAAGCCCAAAACCTCTTTAGGATTACAAGTATGAACAATAAACTCATCTTTTTCTAGTTTTGAGGTTTGGCCAATGCCCTCATTTCTACTTCAGTTTTATAATTAACAGTTATCTTCATTTTCCCCTTTCAGATTTCCATAAGCATCTTCTGTGACTACTGATAAATATGTTTTAGAAGCTTTCTAATATTTGCAGTGGGCTGAGAATGACAAAATTGATGTATAGGTTCCAGCTCTCCTACAGTCTGTAGACCCTGAGCTCATATACTCTGGAGTCTGACATTACCAGCATTTGAACTATGCTCTTGATGATTACCTTTGGCTATGATGGCTGGATATGTTAAAATCCATATAGAAGAAACTTGTCTTTCCTCTATTATGATTTAGATAGAGTAACCAGGCACAAAATGGAAAAATGTAACTATTTCAAAAGAACATTTCCTGGTCTAGAGTAAATATTAAACTCTTAAGATAATTTTCTCTTATTTTGTACATTATAATATACCTATTGTGATAAAATTTGAGATTTCTTTTTTTGTTGTTGTTGGTGGTGGTTGTGGGGCTTGAACTCAGGGCCTTGGCACTGTCCCTGAGTTCTTTTGCTTAAGGCTAACACTCTACCACTTTGAGCCATAACTCTACTTCCAGTTTTCTGGTAGTTATTTGGACATTAAAGTCTCACAGACTTTCCTGCCTGAGCTGGCTTTGAACTGTCAACCTCAGATCTCAGCCTTCTGAGTAGCTAGGATTATAGGCATGAGCCACTAGCACCCAGCTGAGTTTTTGTCATTTTACTCAAGATTTTTTGCTTACCACGTTAGCTATGGTGTGTATAAATCCTATTCTTTACTATGGCTATGCATAAAATATGCGTTTCTAATATTTAGAAACTGTAAAGTTCTTTTCTTTTAGTGGATCTAAAAGTGTATGTCTTTATTGAAGAATGGAGATTTGCCTTTTATTCCTTTCTCCAAATGATAAACCACCTTTCAGTTCTGGAATTCTATTGATAGATTATTATGGTATGTCTTTTCCCCAATTATTCTTAAAGTAATTAGAGCCTTTCCTGCCCTAGAGGTAAAGGCGTCCAGCTGCCAGTCTGCTAGAAACCTGAAAACAGAGTAACAGGTAACGAGAAGATATGATGGAGATTTCACTACATCATTTACTCCACAATCCCCTTCATGTCCTAATCTTAGCAGTTAATCAAATGTCTACTACTATTAACAGAACAGAAATAATGAATAGCTGAGTAGAAGTAACAGATGCCAGAGCCATTTTTGTAACCAACTCACCAAATCAGATCATCAGTCCTTATACCCTTGTTTTATTTAATAAGAGGAAGAAAGGTCATACAGACTTTCCCAAAGGACAAAGCCACCTAGACCAGGTGTTTATAAAATGTTTATAAAGCATTCTCTTGGAGTGTTTTCTTTCCCTGCCTTCAAGAGGTTTAAGAGATAGTGGTGTTTACTGCTGCAGAATGTATCACAAGATAAGAAATGAAAAATCTATCTTACCAACTCCCTTTTCTTTCCCATTTTATCTTCTCTGTCAATTATAGGGACATTTCTCTGATAGCTGGCAGTCTAAACTACAACCAAGTATTTAAAAACAATGCATGCCCGGCTTCTACAGTGTCAGGCAAGCTAGCCCTATGATTATCAAGGTGACTCTATAAACCCTTTAACCATGTAATTTTGCAAATTGAAATAACATTTCTCAAGAAAAAGTTGCTCTCAAATTGATTAAGATCAGAGATAACTTTAACTCACCAAAACCACTGGAGCTACATAATTTGTAGAATACGGTAAACTTTACATTTGCAATAAATCTATCTTTAAAAAAATACTTTGATATCAATAGAAAAATAAATAGTAAAAGAAGTCTTCAAGATATGAAATATTTTTATTATTTAGAGTTCTCTGTGATAGTAGAAATTAAACATTTAACTCTAGATAACACTGGATTTTTCTATTTCTATAACAAAATAGTGCTATGTATTAGTCAGAAGATTATTAATTTACTCTCCATAGGTACAGTGTTTAATATTCTCTTGGGGAACTAATCAGCACAAAGTGATTATATTTGAATCTCCTAATAATTGAAGTTCTTTCGATTGTTTAAGTAAATCTTCTCCCTTGGATTTGGCCCAATATTGATTTACCACATACCTAATCTTCCCTATAACATAATGTGTGTGTGTTAGAAAAGAAATTGTCCTTAAGGGAAAAATTATTAGAAGATATATTTGTATGTATTTCTAGCATGAAAGAAGCATTTGTGAATTTAAGAGCTGCTAACAAATTCATTGTAAATATTACTAGGTAAACAGGTAAAATGACCAACTTCTTGTCCAAGAGTGATATTTGCATGTTTGTAAAATTAAACATATCATATCAATGACTGGATACATTAATTTAAAATAATGAATGGTTAAAATTACACAAAGCAAAGAGGATCTTAAAATGAGAACAAATATTTCTATTAGTATTTTTTGTTGTTTTATTAGCAGGAGCCAAATAAGGATACATGACTATAAGTTTTGCCAGCATTCGTAGCAACTACTGTAAAAAGCAGAGCTCACAAACCCTTAAGATCCTGTTAAGACTCAGCAGGAAATTACTAGCTGGTTGGTTTTTCTAGTCAGAATCTATTCTTTGAAAAACACAACTTGTTCATCCTACTTATTCCAAATTAGCCAAAGCCATATCCTATTGTTTATTCACTTCTTATGTAGAATAGTTTGAGAATATAAAATGTCTTTTCCATTTATAAGTCAGGAAATAAGTGTAGCAAGAGTCAGTCCTATCCAATACTAAAAAAACAAAATAAGTTTTCAGAATTTAGATGGCAGCAAAAATACTTTGCTGAAAAAGATTCTGTGCAGGACAATGGCACATACATATGCCATTATTTTGTGTATTATGAGAAAACGAAAGGCCTTTTTCTCTAAAACAGCATTAATCTGCTTTGACAAAATGCCAAAGGCCTGCAGAGAGCTATACATAATTTGACTGAGATACCAGTTTCAAAAGCTAAGGAGACTATTTTTAATTAAATGATTGGAAAAATCATAAAAATATTCTCAAAATAATCATAAATATAATCTTTTAAAAGATTATAATCTTTTATAACAATGATAGGTAGAACCTGTCATTACCAATGGGGTGTTAAGATACATCTCTCAAGTTTATCAACAAGTAGAGACTGAACAATGAGGACTTGGACTCCCTTATTTCTTAAATACTAAAACTGAGTCTTGGATGAATTTCATTTGTCCAAGACTACAGAGCTAAGCAGTAGCAAGACAGTACTAAAATCCTGGCTTCTGGCTCAATTGTCAATGCTGTTCATTATAACATTCTCCCTTTATGTTGTGTTTTATTCTAACTTATTCTATCAATGTTTGACACTTCTTTTTCCAGAGCTATGACTTTGACCACTTCTGTTGTTGATAACTTGTAGTTTTAATAAGACTCAACTCAAGCTACACCCTATTATTTCCAAAAATGCTCTGGAATGATCTTGAATGAGCACCACATAGTGTTTGCAGTGGGCACAAATTGTTGAATGGCTGGACTTAATGTAAGACTGTTAAACAGTAGGAAATATACACACATTTTATTTATATATACATAGGATCTCCCACTAGAAAATACACTGCCAAAACATTAGGCCTACATACTTCTATCTAGCTACAAATTGCAAAAAAGTAAGTAGAAAGAGGGATTAGAAATTTTTTATTATTATCTCAAGTAATCATACAAGGGGGTTTCAATTCAGTTTGTCAGTCTCTGAGCACAATACATCTTGATCATGTTACCAATTTCATCATTCTCCTCTGTAAGAGGGATTAGTTTAACAGGATGTGTATGTACAAATTTCCCTCCACATAATTCCTCATCTTAGGTGATAAGGATATTTCTTTTCTCCTAGTGTAGCGAAAGCATGCACACGGAGATTTTTTTCCCCTTAATTTCAGGAAGATCAGAATTCTTTTTTTTTGGATATGCTTTTAAACACCTTTAGTTCAAAATAATTAATATGCCAAAGCAGTATATTTTAGAGTCATGTGTCCTAAATGACCCTGCCATCACTATTTAGTTGATTATGCTTTGTTATAGTAAAAATAAACACTATATGTGCATTATCATAACCATTTTTATAAAATTGTTTTGTTTGGCTTTGGATGCACCAATTTATTATTCTAATATGGACCACATTCATCTGGTCTTCCTACAAATATGTATTTTCTTCAAACCAGATTACAATGTTCTGTGTGCATTTATTTATGTGTACAAAGACTTTTAATTTTTTTTATTTTGTTAGTCGTGGGGCTCAAACTCTGTGCCTGGGCGCTGTCCCTCAGCTCTTCAGCTCAAAGCTCGCACTCTACCACTTGAGCCCCAGTGTCACTTCCAACTTTTAACTGTTTGCATTGAAAATACTCAAAGGTTATGCTGGTTTAT